AACCATGAACACCCGACTCCAGGTCCTTGGGCGGAAGCGGGTCTTTTCTCTCGCCGGCGCCCCTCCCGGTAGCCACCGCCTTGCCGCGCGCCTTGCCCCTGACAGGTGCAGAAGAACTGGCACCATGACCACCAGCCATCAAGAGGAGTAATAGAACTCAAAGAGGAACTGTGAAAACGGAGACGAAAAATGAACGGAAGCAAGAAGGCAAGAAAAGTTATCGTACTCGAGAAGCCAAGAAGCAGAAAAAGAATAAAGTGGAAAGGGGAAGAGGCGCAAAGGAGAGAAAATATTTTTTTCCAAAATCCAAACGGCCGCAACACGTGTCAACCTAAGGGCACGCTGACAACACATTAATTGCAAGACCATCATTGCACAACCGTCATTTCCCTTAACGCGCCACTTGCACGTTTTCGAAAAATGAACAGTTACGATACATGACATCTCAACAGGCAGAAGTACGCGAAAGGTCACTTCCCCCCAGCGAGCTCGGTCTTAACTCCTCAACCTGTGGACTCGGAGCTCGGGGGGCTAGTGTACTGTCCGTACCGCGAAGCCGAGCTCCGAGCTCGGCATCACAGCGCAAGATGAGGTCGGGCACGCATTACGCGACGTCAGCTTGGCATTTAAGCAGATCATAACTGATCTCGAGGGATCTCGCTTCAGACGAGATTCACTATCTAATCTTATCATATCTTATCTCAGGCCCAAGGCCCAAAGCAACCCTAATTCACACTAAGGTACGTGCATTACTTATACGAGATTCATACTCCCACACACACTAACTTTAGCATCGGAGTCTCTTTTGCAGGTACCACCCCCATATTGGAGCATCAAGCGTACTAGTGCAGGAGGCTCACCGATCTTACCTGGCGGATCAGCTCTACAGCAAATTTCCGGTAAGAACAACATACATATATAAATATATGAATAGTGAACAGCTACCCCTATCAGTACATAAATCAGCTTAACAAAATCAGCTTAAAATACCACAACATTCAGCAATAACAGCACACATCTCACATCATTAGCATACAACTCATCGATTTTATAGCATAATCAGCAATAAGCACACAATGCGTCGTCACACATATCAACTTGGAGATCTCCTACAACAACTCAGCCTTTCGGCCTACAACAACTCAGTCTTTCGGCCTACAACAACTCAGCCTTTCGGCCTACAACATCTCATATCAACATACAACACAACACAATCTTATAGCTCAACATATCAACTTACAACAATATACACCTGATACAGCTCAACAACATTCATCATTAACAACTTAAATCGGCATATAATTCAGCTCGGCTCACAACAAAATTCAACATTGGCATTATACAGCACAACTTAACAGCAATATCAACTTACAACACGGCTAAACAGCTTATAGTGCAACATTATCATCTTACAGCACAGCTGACAACTTAGAGCACCGCAATATTAAAATTCAGCATGATTAACATTCATCAATAACAGCTTAAAATCAGCATAAACAACATTCGGCACAACTAACTTAATCAACAATAACGGCTCAACAATATTCAGCACAACCTAGCTTAACAACAATAACAGCTCAAACAACATATAGCATATTCAATTCATAATACGGCTCATCCATCTTGTTTATAACTCATCTATCTTGTCAAATTACCCACCCAAACAACATCAATCAACCTAAGCACCTAAAATAATTTTCAACTTAACCAAATCACTAAATGTGAAATGGCAACCTTCACAGCAAACAGCGCATCAAGAGTTACACTACTCCTACCATGCTCATCCTTATCTCATATGAAAGATAAGAAGATTTCCTACAACTCTCATGAAGACACCAAGTCTTACTTCCTTCATTTACCTTGTTAAAAATGATAAAAACCGCAACAGCTAAAAGCAATGCTGGCAGCTTGACCCCTCTACACTAAAACAGCCATATCTGGAGTTCTAAAACTCCTTTTTGGGTGATTCCAGCGCCATTGGAAAGCTAACATCCAAGGCTACAACTTTCATGAAGACTATAAAGTCAAATTCTGAAAATCAAATGCGGGCCCTGCGCAATTCTCAACCAGAGACCTACAGAGGTCCATTGTGCCCGGCGTGGTTCTCCCCGCGCCCGGCGCGATTCACCTAGAGATTTTCCATTTCGAATCACGCCCGGCGCGAAGAACTGCGCCCGGCGCAAATTCAAACAGGAACCCTTACCCACTTCGAAAATTTCATCAAAACCTACGAAAATCAACAGAAAACCAACATGCAACCCAGCCAAAAGTTCCCATTCTCACCAAGTATCAACAAAAACCTCTCATTTTCGACATGCAAACACAAATCAAGAATTACTCAAAATTTCCGCAAGGACCTCGAAAACCCGAAGAACCCCAATTCATCAATTTCAGCAGTTTTTAGCTCAAATGTAGCAAACATTATACCACAAAAGAGTTCTTAGAACTCGTTTTCAGCCAAACAAAACAAAGGACTAGCTTCCCTTACCTCGGTGAAGAGAAAACCGAGTTCCGGGAGGAAGAATAAAGAAGAAGATTGGAAGCGGACGGAGACCAACGGAGAAGGAGATCTTCAGTTGATTTCCCACACCAACATCAACACCTAAACACCACAGCCACCAGAAGGAGTTCCGCAAGTGAGCAATGGGAGAAAAGGAGAAGTAAGGGTTTTGAGAGAAAGAGTGCGTAAAGGAAAAAGGAGAATTGGAGTGTGTGAGAATAAGAGTGTGTGAGAATAAGAGTGGGTAAGGGTAAAATAGGAAAAGGAAAAGAGGGGGGGGTCTCACACGTCACATAGCCATTGAGCATTTACTCTAAACAATGAATCTTTGGACACATGTGCAATATACTTCGTGACTTGTATCATTTCTCTGTGTGAAAAAAAAAAGTTACAGAAGTACCCAACTCTGAAGTTTGATCAAGCACAATGCTTAAGGCAACAAATGATTTTGATTCCTAAAGCATGACTTACAAGAGAAAGAGAAAGTGATAGTGAAATATAAATTATAGATTTTTTTTTTAGATGGAAGTTTTCAACAAGTTTGTTTTACTCAACTTGAACTCATTCAATATTAATTATTAGAGTTAATCACCTATACAACATAAAGTTTTTTTATATTGACACTCAGTTATATCTTTTAATTATGTCATATTACTGTTAAAAGTAAATGTATTTATAATGACATGACACAATTAAAAGATATAATTGATTATCAGTGTAAAAAAACTTTACAAATGTAAATTTTTTTTCCATTGATAGTGTATAAATGAGATATAAAACCCAAATTTTCCTTTATCTAATCTGACATTCAAATGAATCCGTCCAATAATTTTTATTTGAACCGTGTTTTCCTGTTTCCTCCCAAAACACATCACTTTTCTCTTCCTAAAAAAATATTTTGATTTAAACTTTTGAAAATATATTTATATATTTCAAAATTAAATTTTTAGAAATCTATTTGTTACACATCGAAAAATTAAAACTTTAAGATATTTGTATGTTACAGATTCTAAAAAATAAAAAATAAAAAATTCCAAAAGTCTGTCTTTGTAGTTTTGGCAACATAGTTCTATAACATAGCTATATATTGATATAGACATTCAAAAGTTTAATTTTGAAACATGTAACGAATAGACATATGAAAGCTTAATTCTAGAATTTGCAACAAATATAGTTTAGAAGTTTAATTCAATAATGTGTACTTTTTTTTTTTTTAAGTTTACAGTACACAAATATATTTTTGAAATTTAATTTAGATGCAAAACTTTTGCAATAATCTAGAAATTAAATTATTGTTATAGAAGAAAAAAAAACTCATATATATATATATATATATATTTATTTATTTAGGAATCATGGTTCATAAGAATCATTATAATTTTCAAGAATGGTTAAATCTGTTTGATTGATCATAAATATTTATGACAATAATTATAAATATTACTTAATAATTAAAGTTTTTTATTGTATCAATTAAACAAATTAAAATAACATAATATCTTTACTATATAGTGAAACACTTTAATTCATGAATGCTAAATTTTTATCTACCTATAAAAATAATTTGGAGAGAAATATTTGTAAGAAAATTGTTGAGAAACCATATTTCATAAAAATATATTTTTTATGTGATAAACTAACCCCTAAAAAAAAAGGTGATAAACTAACCATGAAAAACTAAAAGTTGGATTACTACATCCTCCGAAAAAGAATCCAAAACAGTCTTCGAAATTTTAAAATATTCACACTTTTCAAAAAATTTATTGTAAAATAATTAATTTAATTAACATTTTATAGTTTAAATTTTTTTATCATTCGGAACTTCTTTCATAATGTTATTTTGGAGGATAATTTTTCAAACTAAAATTTTTAACTTTAAATTTTTAAAAAAGTAAAAAATTCTGTACATTATATGCTTCCAAGGATTGTTGAAAAGATTACTAAGATTAGTCTAATAATTAGATGAGAAGAATTATAATAATTAGAAATATGGGGACTTAAATTTAATTTTCGCGACTATGTTTTCTATGTAAAAAAAAAATATGCTCCAAGGATTTTAAAAAAATATATATATAAGTAATACATTTAAAAAAAGGGTGGTGCAAATAGTAAAAATTGTTATTTTTTATGCGTGGCCCGACCAAGCAGAGATATCATTGATAACTCTAGGCTCGTGTTAAATTTTTTGTAAAATAATTAAAACTTTTTTTTTTATATACAAAACAAAAATTAGTTTCTAACACCGGAAACTAACTTTCATTAAGTCAGAGAGAGAAAAAACAAAACAAAAATGTATAACGAGGGTGAGAGAGACAACAGAAGGTAGACTAGGAGTAGGAATTACAAAAATAAAAAGAGGGGGTGTTTGAAAAGATGAAAGAGGGGTGTGAGAAAATCATTTCCTTATTGTTATTCAATACCGGGCCGAATTATAAGATCGGATCTGCACGTACTGAGGGCCCACTTCGAAATGTTACATACAAACAAAAAAAAATCCATGATCATCGAGAAATGGAAACGAAGCGAATCGGAAGCCATCTCTCTCTGGCTTTCTTGTAGCAACGCACTCGAATGCGGTTCAGTTTTTGAGGTGTGGGGTTTTGAAGAACACACAGTAACGGTTCCCCTATGGCGGTGCCGCTCTACGAGACGCGACATCACGCTTCCAATTACTCTCCTCAACACCAGAACCAACAACAGGTCACACTCTCTTCTCTTTTCTCTTCTGATTCGCGCTCTTGTTCCCTCACTTTCGTTAACCATTGTTCGATTTCAGGTGAACGAGAGCGCCAAGGGTACCTTGTTGTCTCTGCTTTCTTCTCGAGGTACGTCTAGCTCTTCTCTTCCACTCACCGAACGAGTTCGGTTATGCTTTCGTTGAATCCCGATCAACGCTTGTTTGGATCCAATTGATGTTCGTCTGTATTGCACTGTGAAGGCGTGAGCCAGCTCAAGGAGAAATGGACCGAATATAACCAACCGAAGAGGCTCAGAAGATTGCTGGCGCTGTTTGTTTCCGGCACGGCCAAACACGTCGCAGTTGCCGCGGGAAATCATGAGCATACGCAGCTATAAGGGTGTTGTAAGAGACTATGTCTTTGTGCCAGATTTCACTTTGACCCCAAAGAGTCTCATTGTGAAACAAATATTTATATATCTTATAGACTCTACTGATCTAAGTTTGTTCAATGAAAGAAATAACAATTTTAGGTTAGCACGATTTTGTAACGCAGGCTATGTAGAGGACATAATTGAAAGAAAGAATACAAGTGAAGGATGTCACTTTTTGGAAAGTTGATAGCTATTTCAGCAGTAAAGATAGAATATATTTCAGTTACTAGATGTTGTTCACAATTCTTAGGGTTGAAATATAAGTCAGAAGACTATTTTAGTCTTGAATCAAATATACTTGTATTATATGACAATACAAGTGTCATAAATTTGTCAAAAAATCTCATACAACATTACAAAGCTAAACACATTGAAATAAGATATCACTTCATTCGTGATTATATCCGAAAAAATAGTTTTCAATATAACTTTATTGACACAGATCATTGTCGGAATCCAAAAAATTTCAATTTTTCCCACAACTGATTTTGACTTCCGTTTGAAAATCTCATCGAATTAGGAATGTCTAGAGACTACACTAATTCACCAATAGTTTTTGAAAAAGGTTCTTAGGAGTTATCACTGATATTTTACTCAAAAACATAAAAATTAAAAAATTAAAAAAAAAGACTTTTTGAAAATTAATAATGGCCTTCATAATTAAAATTAGGTTCGGGGATCAGTTACATGTGGGGAAGATATTAGGCACCCCACAATGCCCTAATTCGGTATTTTATGATGAATTTAGCATAATAATAAAAACAATGAAATATTTACCCATTTTATTAATTATTCAGATATTAAATATTTACATGAGGAATGACATTTCCATGGCAATAATATAATTAAGAACAATCAAATAAATAACGAGAGAAAAAGGGAATTTGGTGAAAATACCACCGTAGCAAGCTTTTATAAAATAAACTTCAAGATCTTAATACAAAAGTGTATTTTGGTAGCCTTTCACTCTACAAAAGTCTCATAAACACTCAAAAAAGTATGGAGAAAAAAAAGAGAGAGAGTTTTTGCTTGAACTAGGTTAACTAAGCAGCATGTGTGGGAATGTGTGCATCAGGCACACATTTATAGGCTCCTTGAGATGTGGAACAATTGTTCTAATTTTGGAATAGACCATTCCCAATTAGGGTTTTTAGCCATTAGAACAACCTATTTTGGATTGGGAACAAGTTGTTCCCAACTAGGGCTTTAGGCCATTTTAGTGGATCGAAACGACCCATTCTAAATTGGGAACAGGCCACTCCCAATAGGGTTTTAGGCTACTTCAGTAGTTTGAAACAGTCTATTCCGATTTGGGAACAACCCATTTCTCGCCTAAAACCCTACCTTCGAGTCTCTTGGCCTCCTATCGCTATTTTGGTCCATTTTGATGATCTATTGGGCTCCTTTCACTCATATTCAGTAGGAATCTGGGTTGACAGATTTCTAGGTAAAAGTTCATAAAATCTAGATAGAAAAAAAAAACAAAATGAAGTTTAAAACTTTTACAAAATTTTGGTAGTCTAACCTTGTTTTAGAACATTTTTCAAAAGTAATTTAAGCAAAAATTATAAGTAATGTATATATATAATCTTAAAATTATTATATTTTTATCGGAAATGATTATAATCATACAATTGTGATATTTTAGAGACAAAAATTAACCAATTAATTAAAACCTTAGAAACTAAAATCACACAATTGAAATATTTAAAGAATAAAAAAAACAATTAAGTTTATTATTATAAATAATTTATCAACTTTTGTATTATAAATCTAGATATTCATCATAAATGAAAGCACTTTTATTAGTTATTTTCAATGTAAAGTTTTTTTAGATTTTGTACTTAAATAGAAGCATTTTTAAGAATTATTATCACTAGTTGAATTATATATTTTATCCTAATATCATATATTAGTATTAAGTATTTACTAGTTTCATAGATGATTAATCTCTGCTAAAGAACCTGGTCGGTCACCTCTAATGAGATCTCCCCTCCTAATAATATTGTCCCTATGAAATTGGATTTGAACATGAGAACTTGTTTAAGAAGGCTAACATCTATTTGTGACACCCTCTACCCCAACGTTAATACACAATAAATATAAACAATAATTTCTTTTTCTTTTTAAGTAAATAAAATCTTTCATAGTTTAATAACATCTTTCATGTATAAAACAATTGTTTCAAATCTCATAAGGTAGAAGATTCACATTCGTAATTCATAGATCATAGAAAGTCGTCTTGTAAGTATAAAAATTCAAGAAATCATATAAAGAAAAATATAGATTAATTCCAGCAAAGGTGGCAGTGCCTCCTAGTTAGGAACTGTCGCCACCGGCCCGAAACGGGGCTTTCGGCATTCGCGAAGGATGGTTGGACTCGTTATTTGTTTTAAAAAGGTGGATTGCTAGAATGACTTATTCTCAAACTGAGACCTCGTCAAACGAGCAATTTTATTAAAAGGCTCACTAATCCATATTAATCCCAAGCGGGACCCTCCATGGATTAGTGGTTTTCGCAAAAGGAGGGTTCGTGGAGTCGCCACCAATGTTTTACTCAAAACATTGGAAAAAGGGATAAGGCAATTGATTTAAAAATCAACTTTGGCCATTACAACCAGAGTTGGGTAAGGGAGTCGGTTACGCGTGGGGAAGGTGTTAGCACCCCACGGCGCCCCTTTCGGGTTCCCTATGACACGCTTCCAATTACTCTCCTCAACACCAGAACCAACAACAGGTCACACTCTCTTCTCTTTTCTCTTCTGATTCGCGCTCTTGTTCCCTCACTTTCGTTAACCATTGTTCGATTTCAGGTGAACGAGAGCGCCAAGGGTACCTTGTTGTCTCTGCTTTCTTCTCGAGGTACGTCTAGCTCTTCTCTTCCACTCACCGAACGAGTTCGGTTATGCTTTCGTCGAATCCCGATCAACGCTTGTTTGGATCCAATTGATGTTCGTGTGTATTGCACTGTGAAGGCGTGAGCCAGCTCAAGGAGAAATGGACCGAATATAACCAACCGAAGAGGCTCAAAAGATTGCTGGCGCTGTTTGTTTCCGGCACGGCCAAACACGTCGCAGTTGCCGCAGGAAATCGGATAACGATTCTGAGTAAAGAGGATGACTATCAGAATCCATGCGCCATTTTCACCAGTGAGATTTATTTACTCTCTGAAATTTTGTCTTGTGTTGGAAAGTGGAAACGCTATTTGATTGCGATGAGCAATTGGTTCGTTAGGTTCCAGCTTTGGTACGTTTAGTGTAGGAGCTTGGTCTGAAGATGAGGACGTGCTTGGAGTTGCTGATGACTCTGACAAACTCTATTTTATCAAGTTCACTGGCGAAGTTGTCGCAGAATTTTCGAAGAAGCATTTGAAAGTCTCTTCTTCGATCGTTGCCCTATTTTCAGATATTGATTTGGATACACGCGAGTCTTACCTGTAAGTTTCTTTCCTTTTTCTGCGTTCTGATATACTGTACAAGGAATGGAGAATGTGATTAGTTTGTCACTGATTTCACGGTCCAAAACAATGTTTATTGTTGAGAACTACTTGTCAAGGGAGATGGATGTTAGTTTAAAATGTTGGTACTCTTTGTGGTGTAGGTTTTCCATTGTTACGTCAGATGGCTCGCTTCAACAAATTGAGATCAGTCAGGGACAGAGTGGCTCTACCTTTCCCAAGTACATTTCTATTCACACGAGTAGGATTTGCAACAATGTTTTCTGCTTTGACCGGCATCTTGAACATAATCTTTTTGTGGCTGTTCACAAGAACTCTGGTAATTATTTTCTATGTTATAGAAGTGATGGTTTTGAATTTAAGCAGTGCATTATATTATAGACAAACAAATCAATGTAGGCTCTGGTTTACTTCTGACTATTAGTCTGATATTGAGAGACACACCCCTTTCTATATGGTAAAAGATTATGCAGGAAATGCTGATGATTTTCGGCTATTGCTTTTGTTAATACCATGTATAGTATTAGAATCTTATGATTTGATACAATTTGACAACCTACCAATACATATCATACGATGAATCTAAAATGACTTTGTATCATTAGGAACCTTTCACTTGATCCATTTTGGTCTATTTTAACAAGGGAAAGCAAAGCAACAAAGAGAATATCTTAAAAAATATTTTCAAAAGCAAAATAAAGTTCGTGCGTCATTAGGAACCTTTTACCTCAACTGGTAAAATTCAGGCTGAATTACTTACAATACAAGCTTCTTTATTCCAACCTCTTTATTCTGCTTGTAATTTTAGGAACTTTTATGCAGATTAAATTATATACTGTGTTTGGCTTCTCTATATGTGTATAATGTTTGATGTCTTTCATTTAAATTTTATTTAGAAAGAAATATAGATTTTATATCTTTTTGCTGTATGAAAAGGACGTTTTCTGTATAATTTCAGGACTTGGCTTTTAGTTTAAATAATTATATAGTAATTCCACAACAAATATATGTGGGTTTTCAAGCTACCGGAAGGTTTGGACTATATTAGCACTTTTTTTTTTTATAATGTTTTTACATGTTTAATGTTCTATCAAAACCACCTAATTAAGGGTCTAAACTGTAAAATATGTATCTTGTATGAGTTATATTACGTACATACTCTAATTTCTTCTCAATGTAGTGGTGAGAACGTTGTGTTTGAAGAGTGAGCATACTAGACAACATAGGATTAAGAATGATTGTATTAGATAGAAAATTAAGGTAACAACTATTGTTGAAAAAAATGGCAAAATCTTGCCTTAGCTGATTTTTGAATATGTGGAGAAGACTTATAAAACCCCTACTAGTAAGGAGGGTTGGTTATGTGGAGGGTAGCCCTATCACTAGAGCCAGAGGGAGATTAAGAAAAACTACAGGCCAAATTGATAAGAAGGATTTACGATCAGAGGTCAATGGACTCTTGATAAGGAAAGAAGTAGTTTTAGGGATTTAGGTAACCGAAGAACCA